GCAGGTCCACTTCCCATTTGCGGCACGAACTTTTTTCTTTGTGTTTTAGCTGCACTTGCCAATATGATGTTAGAGTATGTTAGGTCTAGTTGTTGCAGTTATTGAGCTGGACCAGTTCCTATATGGCCCATGCAAAACATATAATAGATAATAAATAAATAAATAGATAAATAAATAAATAAATAAATAAATAGATAGATAAATAAATAAATAAATAAATAAATAAATAAATAAATAAATAAATAAATAAATAAATAAATAAAATGCTGAAATCTATGTTTTAACTTTCACAAATCAGATAAAGGTTTCATAAATCACGAACTATGCTTTGAGGACTCTGCCATTAGTGGGCAATCAGCTAGTCCAGGAATGATGTGTCCAGGTTGTTTTATAACAAGAGCTGATTAAAAATGCCCAGGGGGTGAAACATAAAACTACCAGTGATATTTTTGGATTTATTTGTGTTTTTACCTAATTTTCCACTATTACCAAAGTCCCTTTGAAAAAAATCCATTCTTTTTGCTAAAGTTTTTGTCTCCTCAACGTCGCAGCCAAATAGAAACATGGTGGTTTTTCAAAAATGACAACGAATGTCATGTAGTAGATATTTGGGGAAGAGGCAAAAAGAGATCACTGACTATAATCTCTGAAAAACATCCGATCTAATGTTGGACGGTTTTTCTATTCTAAGAATGAGCACTCAGGTATTAAATTATTGTAACTGTTCTTTAAAGGGCTTTAAAAGGGTTTGATTTGCATGTATCTGAAACAACACAACCCCAGCACCTTGTCTGTTAGAATCTTATTTGGTCTTTAGCCTAAACCTGTCTAATTCAAGTGGTGCTCGCTGCAGAACCACAAAGGCGGAGCTGCACTAGAAGGTAGAGCTGCACCAGAGTCAGCCCCACCCATTCCATCAGTCAGTCCAATTCCTTCCAGTTGTCAGACTTGATAGCATTCTGGAACCAAAGAGGGTGTTATAGCTAAAAAATGCAAGATTGAGGACGAAGTTGAGAAGTTAATTGAACAGTTTTTGTAAAGTTTCCATATAATTAAAAATCTAACTTTTTTAACTTTTAATCATGTAATATTGTCATTTCCTCATAAGAAACACGCCAAAGCCATTTTTAGCCTCACTCATACATTTTCCTCCCATCTCAGCTTCAATTTGGTCTCCTCCCCCGAAGCGGGTCTGGTCTTGGTTCTCAAATCTGGATATTCTGTGAATTTTCTGACAAATTATTTCTGAAATGACTTCTACTGAGACACCGCCAATAAATCATACAACCCATCTCAGAGACATACTGGGAAGCAGAATTACATGTAACGCCACATGATTTATAACAGATGTGATGGAGTAGTGTTTATGGAGTCAGCTTGACATGCTGTTTTTGCGCTGGTTCGCCTCCCAGTAGTGGAAGTTTTAGGTAGTTTACAACCTCTTTTCTTCATTTCTAGCTACACTTGACAGTACTATGTTTAAAACAATTTACTGGTATACCGTTTAACATTAAATGACTAATGTGTTTTTTTATTTATTTATTCGTTTATTTAGCCAGTGTGAGTCCATTTGTGAGCAGAGGTTCAACTAAAATGCTGTTTAGGAACGACCAAATTCAAAGAACTTTTAGAGACATAAATATTTTGCTGAAAATAAACATTACAACTAAAATATAAACAAATTAAATGTTTCAGCTGGCTAAATAGATTGCTGACGTCCCCACCGAGAATCGAACCAGCATCAGCTGAGGGGAAAGCACTACCAGAGCCTAGTCAATGGTCTGTTATGCTGTTGTACACCAGTTTTGTTAGATCGGCTGTGGGCAGATATTCGCTAAAAGAAACCTTTTCATTTCGAGATATATTCAGTCTTTGTCATGTAGCAAGTTATATTTATCTTGTTTAATTGGAGCATAGAACATAGCATTAACGACTGTAAACTAGTAACAGCCGTAATTCATGTGGGTCAGGTCAGTTTGCGATAAAGTGGAGAACAAACGGAAGTCAGTGGGCTAGGCTGAGTTTGCGTGAGTGGGCGGGGCTGACTCTGGTGCAGCTCCACCTTTGTGGTTCTGCAGCGAGCACCCTCTCGTCTAATTACTGTAAAATCTGCTTTGGAACAACAGTTTATTTTACCGAGACTGGGAAAAATGACTGAGAAAGATCACACAGACTGTCAAAGTCGCCCTGAAAAGCTTTAACCCACGACTCGTAAATGTGTTCTGTTCAGTCTTTATGAAACAGTTTTCTCCACCGCACTCATCTGTCTTACCTCCGCGCTCTCTCAGCATCATTCCTTCCTTGTTGGTGGTTCAAACCTGCGTAAAGTCCCGCCTCCTTGCTGGACTGACAGCCACTGCTTTCTCATCTCAAACAGTTTATGCAAGATTTAAAGATGAAGCGGAAAACTGTCAGCAACGCGGGACGGTGTTTTCATTTGCAGGTAATCTGGTCTCCGTTAACTACAGCATATCAGCCACTCAGGAGGGTGGCACACTGATGCTCAGAGCCCAACTCTGGGAAAGGTGAGTGGGATCAAATCCATTTAGAGGTGGGGGAGGTTTGCAGCATTTTTGTTGTTGAAATATAACTTTTCAGCCAATCACTGTTTGCTCTTTATATTTTACAAGTGTCTTTAAAAAACATGTAGTAAAAATAAACATTTTAAATATTTTAGTTTCAGGGGTGCATGATTTAAACTGCAGCATAAGAGGAATAAGTAGTAGGGGTGCAACGGTATGCTAAAATCGTATTCGGTTCGGTTCAGTGTTTTGAAGAGCTCGGTTCGATGAATTTTCGGTATATTATTTTATTTATTTATGTAGTATGTAAAGCGGCTCCTATAGTGAGCAGAACCAGGTGTCATCACTGGCTGCTGATCTAGCGTGATGTCTTTAATTATTTCACTGGTTATTAGCGCAGCTATGGGTGTCGCGTTCATGCAGACAAGTGTTGTGTTTGACTGTTGATGCTTCGCATTTTTATTTCTGCAGCGAGCCTTAAAAACTCACCTCACACCACCCAGTTTCTTCTCTAAAAGCTCGTACTAAATAACGAGCTTCCCCAGCGCTGTGATTTTCATTGTAGGATGAAAACTTTACATCAATTGTCTCAGGGGAAAAGTTCAGCAGACGTGTTTGTTTTTGCTGCCGCATGCCTGCACAGTGTGAGAAGGGAGGGGCGGCGCTCTGTTCAGCGTCTCCACAGGCTCCGCGGTAGCAGCGATAGCCAGCTGGTTTGATCCGCTTTGAGAGGTGTTGATCAGAATTTGCATATCACATTGTAATGTTCAGAAATGGTCAATTTTCACCTACAGATTGACCTATATGCCACCGGTCATCTACAGACATAAGTCCCATCCCCTAAGGTGGATTTTACACTCTATGTTCCTAAAAGCCCAGAAGGATACTGCAACCTTGTTGACCTTTCAGGAGGAACACATTGTCAGCCTGTGTTCCCAAACAAAGCCTTCTCTGATAACACTGCAGGAGTCCCACTCTCTGAATAAAGTGAACGTTTTCATGAAATGAAATTAACAAATGTTATATGGATAATAATAATGTTTTGATTGATCTGTGCTTGAATTACTGAAAGTATGAAATGAATTATTACACTGAATGAGTTAGATATATATGGTAATCAGTAATGTTTGATATGACAAGGCAATCGTCACCCGCACTCAGACACAAGGACAAATTAAAGTGAAGTTAAACTCATGACACATAGATATTTCTTTACCGCAGATCAGAGCATCCGATATCTCAAGAAGGCGTGATGTCTGAGGTTTTCTTGGTAACATCCCTTAGCATGGCACGTTCCGATTGGCCAAGAGATAATAACATGAGAATATTAAAACAGAATCACTAAGGTGATTCAGCAGTTGCATTCCAGCTTTCCATCATTCAGCATTCAGTTCTAGAGAAAGAGCTTCGGAACGGCCGTCCGGAGCGAAAACTCTTTAACCCTGAGCATTTTTGGCCAGCTGCCAAACCCTGCTAAAAGCTGCCTACTGCTGACACAGCAAACAGTTTCTGCAGAACAAAGCTGATACTGTTCCGACTCCCTAAGTCTCCTTCTACACGCAAACTAGTTCCAACCTGTCATGACCTGGAGACGACTCTGGACTGACCTGGTTGTACTGCGGTTTTTCCTACGGACTTCGGTACCTTGGGGTCACCCGGCCCCCCAACATCTCGGATCCAAAAGAGAGTCTCCACTTGGGTACGTAGACATCACAGATAGCGTCTGATGGCTTTTTGATAAGAACCAACTTCATAATTTAATGCAAACCAATTATTTTGACACCCAGAACTCAGCTCTTCTAGAAACGAAAGTTCTGATAACATCATATTCACACATAGTCACCATGCATCTCGTTCCACTCACCTAGATCACAGTAATATTAGTTAACTTGTCATGTTTTTAATTGTTTAGAAAATAAATTCTTACTTTTTATAAACCTGACTCTGTCCTTGAATAAAGACGAAGTGTTCTACAATCCCTGAATAGACAAAGAATCCTAGAATCTTCTGATTAAACATCCAAAGACCAAGCAGGTTGATACTCTATATTTATACAGAGTATCACAGCTTATTGGTCATAAGTAGAGGTAATATATTAAGCTTTTAAAGCACCACAATTTACCAACTCTACATTTTTAAACGGAGATTGGGTGTGTGCAGCCATCATGCGTCCCTCAATACAGCGTCTGTGTGGAAACTCACCTAAGAACTTTTATCCACTGCAAATGCAAATAAAAATTAATTATTTAACGGAAAAAAAAAACCAAAACGGTACACAAGTGGACCAAACCAAACAGGCTGAACCGACACGGTTCTACAGCCCCATATGAACCGTTACACCTCTAATAAGTACAATTGATTGTTTAGCAACTAGATCTGAGGACAGCGTAATTCAATTTCTCTACCGTCTGTACTAGCTCTTCCTTTTGTTTGCGGCCCTCTCCTCGACCCTTCTCTCGGGCCTCGGTCAGCCTCGCCTTCAACGCTTGAGCTTCTCTTTCCAGCTGTTCCCTCTGTCGCACCACCTCCCTCCTTAGCTGCTCACACTGCACCTCCACCTGCGTACAACCAAGCAAACACAAATTAACCATCAGGAGGAAATCGAAAAGTTAGAAAATGTGGAACAAAGACTGAGTCGGTACACCTGGAAAGTTACTCATAAACGTTTCTCCTACCGTGTTTCTTTGTAGGTTTGCTTCCTCTGCCATCTCCACAGCCTGTTTGACCTGGAGACAGGCTGACCACTCCTTTTGCTGCGTCTCCTGCTGACTCGCCTGCGCTGCACGCAGAGCAGCCATTAATTCATCACGCTCCCTGAAAACAGACAAAACAAAATCAGCCACAATCGCCGTTTCTACCAACTGCTGACACTCTGTTGCGCACTGGTGAATAATGCGCATAATTAATGTGTGTGTATGTTATCACTTACTTTGTGAGCCTGTCAATAGCCTGGACGTGCAGATTTGCATGAGTCTCAGCCAGCACAGCTTCGTGCTGTGCACACTTCAGACACAGTCCTGCGACACGAGGAGCTCCGCCAGCCTTTAGCGCACCTGCAGCTCGGTTCTCTGCATGTTTCAGTCGAACATTCAGCTCCTCACACTCCCTCTGACTCACTGACAGATCCTTTCTATGAACAAAAGCAAAAATAAATTATGTTTAAAAACGGTTCTGCCCATTATATTTAGGCACGATAGTGTAAGGTATTGCACCGACCTGAGAGAGATGACCTGAGCCTGAAAGCTATCAATCTGTGCCTGATGGATCACTTTCAGCTGTTCCTGTTGAGACATTTTGATGTAATGACAGGTCCTGCCATGAGATGATTTTGCTTTCATTTTCTTTTCAAAATACTTAAAATGTTTATGTAAAGGTGAATGTAAAGGTGAACTATTTCTTTATGTTTAACAACGGCAAAGGTATACAGGCTTTTATTTTGATAGCGTCATAGCAACCGTAGCCAAGTAGGGAGGCGCAACGGGCGCAACACAGAAGAAGCAAACGGAAATCTATTAGAAGTAAAGACGGAGCAAAGGATAGGCTATTAACGGTTCACGGAGAAGAAGACAAAGAAAGTTTGAAGAATACTTCTGTCTAGCTTCAGTTGATAAGGGGAACAAGGTTTGTAACTATAATTCAGAATGTTGTTATGAAAACGGAACGTGTCTATATGATTGTATTAATTGTGAAAACGGCTACCAATGTAATCAGTTATGCATTATGGTTTATTTTATGATTTATTTATTTTTTGTTTATGCCTAGCTCTTACGTTGGTTGGTTGGTTGATGATACGGACGGCTCAATAAATCATCATTCACCATCAGTTCCGGCCTTCTCGATATTGACTGAATGCTACAGTAAGAGCTTGACCGCCCCCTCTTGCCGAACGGTGTGGTTTCAAGGTTCAACAGCAGTACCCGCAACGTCCAGCAGAGGGCAGAATTTGGTCAGAAATTGAAACGGATCAAGGCAAAGTAAAATGGAAGACTTACAGGCTGCAACAGTAAGTCAAACGGCCCTAACTGAACAGATTACAACTCTGCAAAGGGAAATTCAAGACTTAAAGGACTCACTTCAGGATGAAAGTAATGCGAGACAGGACATTAAAGATTCAATCAAATGCAAAGAACAAATGATAAGTGAACTTCAAGATAAAATTCAAAACACGTCAGATCTGCCAAGACGCTCTGAAAGAGTTAAAGTACAAACAGAAAAAATGATATTATATCTACGGGAAAAAATGATCAAAAAGGAAAAAATAATGCTTGTTCTTTATGAGCAATGGAAAGCACAGGCACGTGAAACGAGAGAAAAATTAAAGGAAGATATAACAGTGAAGGAGATGTCAGAACTTGCTGACATAATAGAAGAAAGGAGAGTTGATATATTAAAGTTATATTCAGAAAATAGAACCCAAATGGCACCATCATCTGACGTAAGGAGAAAGATCAATGCATGTGAAGCAGTAACTAAGGGGATCATATGGATAATTCTGGAAAGAATAAGTGATGTTGATGGAGATTTTGATGCAGATCGTGAAAAAGCTCGTTTACGTGAACTTTTAGAGCATGACTACGCCATTTCCATATATGGATCAACTGCAGCATCAAATCGCAGCCAGCGATCCTCAGCTTCCCATCTGACAGCAAAACGAGCTGAAGCAGCAGCAGAACTAGCAGCAAAGGAGGTTGAGTATGAGGTCGCGCTGAAGGAACAAAGACAACAAGAAAAAATAAGGGCTCTAGAGGAAGAGCATAAAAAACAGGTGGCAGTTCAAAATGCAGAGTTAGAACGCCTGAGAGCACAAAGGGATGTGAAAGCAGCTCGAGCCAGATTTGAAGCATATGACAGGCATTTACTACAAGTGGGTGATGTACAGTCAATTACAGATGAAAAGGTGAGCCCAAACATCACACCTAAACAGCCGTTACCAGCAGTCTCCTTTGGTTCTCTGCAGACAGCCCTCCCTACTGTTACTGAGTTGGCACCAGCAGTGCAGGAAGCTCCCTCCAGTGTTACCCAGCTAGCACAGGCAGTTCAAGACAGCATAAGATTAAACAAACTTCCTACGCCAGAACCAACAGTTTTTAGTGGTGACCCAATGCATTTTATTGAATGGAAATCCACATTTACATCACTGATTGATCAAAAGGGCATCTCAGCAGCAGATAAACTGTACTATTTGAAGAGATATGTAACAGGGTCAGCTCGCAAATGCATTGAAGGGACTTTCTTTAGGAGTGATGAAGCCGCATATAAGGATGCTTGGGACAAGTTAAACCAAAGATACGGCCAGCCCTTTATTATACAGAAATCATTCCGAGAGAAGCTATCAAACCGGCCAAAGGTGCAGTCCAGAGATGCTGATGGATTAAGAACTTTTGCGGACTTCCTAAATGCATGCATGCTCGCTATGCCTCATGTAAAGGGTTTGCAAATACTTAACGACTGCGAGGAAAATCAAAAATTACTGCACAAACTACCAGACTGGAGAAATGCAAGATGGAACAGACAGGTAACAAAGACTTTAATGGAAGGTGGTGAGTTTCCAAGTTTTAGTGACTTTGCATCCTTTCTCTCTGTTGAAGCTGAAGTTGCATGTAACCCATTCACCTCCATTCACGCCCTTCGTTACTCTGAAACTAACAGCGACAAAAGAAACACAAGAGAACCAAAAGGGAACAAAGCAAGTGTTTTTAAGACAAATTCAACGGAACAAAGTAACACACAGTCAATGATAATAACATCAAAGGAGTTTTCATGTTTTCTGTGTCAGATTGCACATCCACTCCACAAGTGTCCAGACTTCTTAAAACTGTCTCTAGAAAACAGAAGAAAGTTTGTGAAGGAGAATAAACTTTGTTATGGTTGTCTAAAACAAGGTCACAATGCCAAAGAGTGCAAACGCCGCTTCAGTTGTGACACCTGCTCAAAGAGGCATCCTACCTGTCTTCATGACGACAATTAATGGAACGGCCTACAAAAGGAGACACAAGTGAGTGTAAATAATGGAACTCAAGTTAACTCACCTGCAGCAGCGACGGCTATGTCACTCAATGTTGCCAGACCTGAACACACAATCAGCACATCAATGATAGTTCCAGTGTGGCTGTCAACTGCTAACAACCCACTCAAAGAAAAACTGGTTTATGCGCTATTAGACACGCAGAGTGATGCTGTCTTCATTGACCCATGAGCTGCAGGCAGATGTTTGCCCAGTAAAGCTAAAACTGACTACCATGATGGGAAAAAAATGCAGTTGTAAGCTGTGAAAGGGTGTCTGATCTCTTGGTGAGAGGCTATAACTCAGCCACAGTCATAAAGCTTCCTACGGCATATTCAAAGGACTGCATCCCTGCTAACAGAGAACACATACCCACATGTGAAACAGCCAAACAGTGGAGTCACTTGCTGCCTATTGCCGATGAAATCCCTCCACTTCTCAGATGTGAGATAAGTCTCCTCATAGGTTATACTTGTCCTAGAGCTCTAGCACCTAAACAAGTAATCTTAGGAAAAGATAATGAACCTTATGCTCTTCAGACTGATTTGGGATGGAGCATTGTTGGCAACTCAGACCCTGAAGAGAAAACAGACATGGCAACCAGGCTTTGTCACAGATGCACCGTTTAAGAGGTTCCTCCTTCCACTCCAGCAGACGCAATACGTGTATTGGAAAGAGACTTCAAAGACGCTGAAAGAAATGAAAAGACTGTGTCACAAGAGGATCTATTATTCCTCCAAAAACTTGAGGAAGGCATAGTACAAAAAAGAAAAAGGGAAATTATGAAATGCCATTGCCGTTCAGGAAAAGACCACAAATGCCAACTAACAGACAACTTGCTGAAAGCAGACTAAGTCAACTAAAACGCAAACTCATGAAGGATCAAAAATACAAGGAGGATTACATGAAATTCATGAATGAAATGATCAAAAGAGGTGATGCAGAAGAAACTGACGATATTGGATCACCTGGTGAGACATGGTATATACCTCACCACGGTGTTTATCATCCAAAGAAACCTAACAGGTTGCGCATAGTTTTTGACTGTTCAGCTAAACACAATGGTACCTGCCTTAATGATCATTTACTAAATGGCCCTGACATGATCAACAGTTTAACAGGTGTTTTGGTGCGCTTCAGACAGCATAAAGTCGCTCTAATGTGCGACATTGAAAAAATGTTCCACCAGTTTCAGGTTAAGGAAGATGATCGCAACTATTTGCGCTTCTTATGGTGGAAAGATGGTGACGTTAACAGCCAGCCACAAGCATACAGGATGACAGTCCACCTTTTTGGCGCTGCTTCATCCCCAGGGTGTGCGAACTATGGACTCAAACATCTGGCTAAGGAAAACAGATCTGCATATCCTGTAGGCTCACAGTTCATAACCAGGGACTTCTATGTAGATGACGGAGTCACCAGCGTACAAAAAACTGAAGATGCTATTCAACTAGTAAAGGAAGCACGTGAGCTATGTGCAAAGGGTGGATTAAGGCTGCATACGTTTGTATCCAACAACACTGATGTTTTAAACAGCATCCCAACATCACAGCTGGCAACAGATACAAAAACAAAGGACTTGACATTCAAAGAGGCACAAACAGAAAGAGCCCTTGGCATTTATTGGAATGTAGAGAAAGACTGCTTTACGTTCAACATCATGCTGAAGGACCAACCCCCAACCAGGCGGGGCATCCTATCAGCAGTTGCAGCAATATATGATCCCCTCGGATTTTTAGCTCCTTATGTGCTCAACGGCAAGGGAATTCTCCAAGAAATGTGCCGTCAAGGAACAGACTGGGACGACCCAATACCAGATCACCTCAGGCCACGGTGGGAGTGCTGGAAAGGAGACCTGCAAAATTTAAAAAACGTCCAGCTAAACAGATGTTATGCTCCTGCAGAATTTGGAGAAGTGATCAAAAGAGAATTACATCACTTTTCAGATGCAAGCACCACAGGATACGGCCAATGTCCCTATCTTAGACTCACAAACAAAAACAAAGAAGTTCATTGTGCCTTTGTCATGGGCAAAGCACGTGTCTCACCCACAAAGGTCACCACTATACCCAGGTTGGAACCATAGACTGTACATACTTGGTTGGAACTCACCGCAGCCACAGTATCAGTCACAGTGAGCAAAATGCTAAAGGAGGAGCTGCTCTACGATGATGTAGAAGAGTTCTTTTGGACAGATTCAAAGGTCACTTTAGGGTACATAAATAATGAGGCGAGGCGCTTCCACACGTTTGTTGCGAATAGTGTGCAGAAAATACGGAGCTACACTTCACCACAACAATGGTTTCATGTACCTACTGATGAAAATCCCACCGACATGGCTTCCAGGGGCACATCTGTAAAGGAACTGCTTTCATCCAACTGGCTCACCGGCCCTCAGTTTCTGTGGAAAGGAGAAATACAGCTTCCAACAAGAAAGACTATCGAGCTCCCAGTAGGAGACCCAGAGGTGAGAAAGGTGCAGACCCTAAACACTCAAGCTGTAAAACATGCAAGTCTCAGTGACCACCTCACAAAGTTCTCCTCCTGGTCCCGAGCAGTTAGTGCTGTTGCACGTCTCAGACGATATCTGCTCAAGGACAAATCAAAGACACTCACCACTGTAGATGAAAGGAAAATAGCTGAAACTGTGATCATCAAAGATTTGCAAGGACAAGTGTATCACAATGAAAACTTCAAGTGCTCTGCCTCCACCCGGAACATTCATAAAAGAGGACTTGTATGCACGAAAGCAATGGCGCCAAGTTCAGTACCTTCTTGAGCAGTTCTGGAGCAGATGGAGAAAAGAGTACCTTCAGAAGCTTATAGTGAGACAAAAATGGCACACACCTAAAAGAAACATGCAAATTGGAGACATAGTGATGGACAAAGATGACATGCTACCACGCTCTCAATGGAAACTTGGTCGAATCGTGGACACTGTGCAGGACACTGATGGACTTGTCAGAAAGGTCAAAATAGCCTCTGCAGACAAAAATCTAAACAACAAGGGCCAACGTGTCAGCAAAATGTCTGTGGTAGAACGCCCTGTTCATAAGTTGGTCTTGTTGTTAGAAGACTGTAATGTTTGAATCTACAGTGCTTTAAAGTGTTGGAAAATGTTTTATTTATTTATTTTTTGTTTTTGAATTTTATACAAAGTGTCCGTTAAGCTACTGTTATTGTTATGGAAAAATTATTTGTGTTTATATGTTCAATAGCAAATAATTTGGTGGGAGTGTAAAGGTGAATGTAAAGGTGAACTATTTCTTTATGTTTAACAACGGCAAAGGTATACAGGCTTTTATTTTGATAGCGTCATAGCAACCGTAGCCAAGTAGGGAGGCGCAACGGGCGCAACACAGAAGAAGCAAACGGAAATCTATTAGAAGTAAAGACGGAGCAAAGGATAGGCTATTAACGGTTCACGGAGAAGAAGACAAAGAAAGTTTGAAGAATACTTCTGTCTAGCTTCAGTTGATAAGGGGAACAAGGTTTGTAACTATAATTCAGAATGTTGTTATGAAAACGGAACGTGTCTATATGATTGTATTAATTGTGAAAAAGGCTACCAATGTAATCAGTTATGCATTATGGTTTATTTTATGATTTATTTATTTTTTGTTTATGCCTAGCTCTTACGTTGGTTGGTTGATGATACGGACGGCTCAATAAATCATCATTCACCATCAGTTCCGGCCTTCTCAATAGTG